CAAACCCACCAGCCACTCCTCGGAAGGAAGACTGGAAAATCTACTTCCATAGTGATACTGCCTCGGAAACCCAAGGAGGGGTCGCTATGAGTTAGGTCTGACTTGATGGCACATAACAACAACAATAGAAGAACCAAAGCAACTTTGTAAAAGAAGAACAGAGTTAGAGGACCAACACAGTCTAATTTCAAGATTTATTGCAAAGCTAAAGTAATCAAGATAGTGTGAAATTAGTGTAAATACACAAAAATAGATCATGGAACAGATAGAGTGGCCAGAAAAGGACCCACAGAAATAAGGACAACTGATTTCCTACAGAGTTGCAAAAAAAAAAACTCAGTGGAGAAAAGATAGTCATTTCCAAAAAATGTTTCTGGCACTATTGCATACCCATAGGGGAATCAAGAGCTCTGGTAGCATAGTGGCTAAGGCACTTGACTGCTAACCAGAAGGCTGGCGGTTCAAACCCACTAGCCACTCCTCGGAAGGAAGGTTGGGCAATCCTAATTCCGTAGTGATACTGCCTCGGAAACCCAAGGAGGGGTCGCTATGAGTCAGGGCTGACTCGACAGCACATAACAACAACAACAACAGGGGAATCAACAACTGTGCACCATCTACAAAAATACTGAATTAAAATAGATGACAGATCTAAATATAAAACTTCTTTCAGAAGAATGAAAAAAATCTTTGTTGTTACCTTTGGAACGGCAAAATTTTCTTAGACACAATCTCAGACACAATGCTACAATCCATAAAAGAAAAAAAATGATAAATTGGACTTCGTAAAAAGAAAAAAAAAAGTCTGCTCTTTGAAACACTGTTAAAACAATGAGAAGACAAGCCATAAATGGAGAGAAACTATTTAAAAATCATATATCTGACAGAAGGCTTGTATCCAGAATATACAAAGAACTCTTAGACTTCAATAATATCAAACAACCCAATTTTTAAAATGTGCAAAAATTTGTACAGATACTTCACTAAATGTGAGATGAGGATGACAAATATGACAAATACTACTACACGAGTACCACTACACACTTAAAGAATAAGTTGACTCAAGTATTGGAGCATTTGAAGAGGAGCCAGAAATCTCATACAATGCTACAACAAATGTAATTAAGTATAACCTCTTTGGAAGAGCCTGGTAGTTTCCTGAAATACTAAACATACACCTGCCATTCAATCCAGCCATTTGGCCATAATCGTTAACCCAAAAGAAATAGGAGCATGTATGCACACAGACATGCACACAAATGGTCATAGCAGTTTTATTTGTAATAGTCGCAAACTGAAAACAACCCAAATGTCTATCAAAAAGGGGCCCAGGATTATAGTCGTGGGGGACACTAAGGTCAATTAGCATAACATAGTCCTCAAAGACAATGTTCTACATCCTATTCTGGTGAGTAGCAACTGGGTTCTTAAAAGTTTGTGAGCTGCCATCTAATGTGTAACTATTGGTCTCTCCTTACCCAGAGCAAAGAAAAGAAGAAAATCTAAGATGCAAGGAAGCAATCTAAAGGACTAATGGACCATGTGAACCTCAGCCTCTGAGACCCAGACACCCAAAGAACTACATGGTGCCTGGCTACCACTGCTGGCTTCTCTGAAAGGGATCACAGTAGGAGGTTCTGGATAGAGAAGGAGAAAAATATAGAACAAAACTCATAATCATAGAAAAATGTCTAGGCTTACTTGTCTGCTGAAGACTGGTTGAACCCTTTAGACTGTGGCCCTTAGATACCCTTCAAGCCAAGAACTGAACTCAATCCCCCAGCCTCAACTTTCAGTCAAGCTATAATGCAACAAAACACAACCACTGCCTTGGAGTCAGATCCGACTCATAGCGACACCTCCTTGGGTTTCCAAGGCTATATCACTACGGAAGTAGATTGCACAACCTTCCTTCCGAGGAGTGGCTGGTGGGTTTGAACCTCCAGCCTTCTGGTTAGCAGTCAAATGCCTTAGGCATTATGCCTCCAGAGCTGCTGATCAAGCTATAGACAAGTCTATAAGGCGAGCAATAATATCAGCAACGTATGCACTCATTAGAACAATTAAACATATAAGATCAATTTACCCAGGAATAAATCCCGGAGGTAATAAGAAAGAAGAACAAAGGGAATTGGTAAACACAGGCTGGAAGTGAGAAAAGTGTTACATTGTGGGGATTGCACTTAATGTCACAAAGCAAAATGTGTACGAATTGTTGAATGGAAAACCAATTTGCTCTGTAAACTTTCACCATAACAACAATTAAAAAGAAGAAGAAGAAGAAGAAATCATAATAAAAATCCAAAAATTCATTAAAAAAAAAAAAGTAAATGGACAGTCAGATTACAGTATGTCCATTTGGTGGACAGTACAATAAAAAGGGAACAAGCTACTGGTAGGGCCTGCACTGGAGTTTCAGACAGTCCCCAGAAAGTCAGGGCTGTGCAAGGTGCTATGGAGAATCCTGGCTGGGCGTGGTCACAAAGGCTCCTAGCAACTGGAGAGGCTGCAGTACAACAAATCCCTGAAGCTTGATAACAGAGAGAGGCCCCCATGGCTTACCACAGGTGGAGAACTATGCCAGTGGAGCTAGAACCCATGCCCCTGGGCATGAGGTGTAAGCCATGGTACAAAGACAGACTGCCTTCCAAGTGCTTTGCAAAGTCCAAGGACAGGCCGACATTCCCCACCTCCCTGAGCTACCGGAGTTGGGTGTTTGTGAACAAGGGGCTGGACAACTTCAGGAGAGGTTGCCCAAATCACACAGAGATGATCACTCGGGCCCCTACGGAGGCCTTTCTCCCCTTGATTTATCGCACAACTCCTAAACCTGCCCCAAAAAGTTGTCGGAAGAAGCTGTCCCGAAAATCAGCTCTGTTTTCCAACCTCTCACCATCCCAGCTTGCACGGAAAGCATTCATGAAGGACGTGGACGCCCATCTGAAGCTACATCCATTGTCTTTCCACCAGCATCTGGAAGAAGAAATGCCTGTTGAGGTCTTACTAAAGGTTCTGGGAGAACTAGATCCTGACAGGAAGCTGGAGGACACCTGGGCTGCTTGTCAGGATGTCAGGAAAAGAAGAGAGAAACCCACAGCACTTACACAATATTATTCTACAGAATCCTGCCTTAGCATTCCCGAGCTGACTATCATGCCAACTCCAGAAGAATGGCTGGAAGAAATTAAGGAAATCATAGTGGATTTACCTCCAAGCCCCCTTCCTCAAAGAACATCCAGAAAACTTGCTCAATTCTTCCAATGGGTTGCTTCTTTGGGATGTACTGATTTTGATGAAGAGACAATCGAGCCACTGTTTGAAATTAAATTTGATGAGAAGCCACAGTTTGGTCCACCCAAAATAAAGAATATACTCTTGGTTCCCGAGGAAATAAGGTACATCAAGTGTCGCACTAAACAGTTAGAACCAAAATTCTCCTTACCGGAACCAGACGTCACGAAGAAACTCTATGAAATACAGTGTCTTCGGCAAAAGAAGCACATGAAGATGAGGTATGGAGCGTGGTACCTCCACCCCAACTTGTGGAAAAAGCTAAGGGAAGATGAACCTTTGCTTGATCCTGATGCCCCAGATGATAGTGACAGTGATGATGGCTATTTTAGAAGGCCTAAGAAGGAATATGACATTCTTGAAGATCTTTATGGAACAATTGCCTTTAAGGATTTTATTTTAAACAAGGGCTACAGCATGCCAAGTGTAATTGAAAGGTTGTTTAAAAGGAAGGGATGGAGATATGATACTGTTAGAACTCCTAAAATATTGTCAACAAGAAATAGCTCAAGAGAGGATTCCTCAGAAGAAGATTAGATAGCTTTTTCTTTACTGCATGCTTGGGTATTTCTCTCTCATTTTAAGTGTTTAAGAATTTATTATGTGTGTTCCACCATGGAGGGCAACTTCTGTAAAATTAACCCCTAACGCTTACAAACATTTCTCAATGACCATCTGCTTCAGGTTCATCAATGTGTTATCAACTATGAAATCAATATTCACATGTATTCTTATCATGTTTTTATAGCATTGTGACTTTCACTAGTTATATCAATTATGTGTAAA